TGTTAGTATGTTTTTTAGATAAAAAATATTCATAATTTAGAAATAAATGGCATTTTTCCTAGCCTGCTTTTAGCCTCTGATTTGAACACTCTGTTTGAAGGGGCGTGTCTGCTGTGGGATTCAGTGTAACCGCGGCCACTGCTGTGATTGGCTGTGGGATTCAGTGTAACCGCGGCCACTGCTGTGATTGGCTGACATGCTTGCATATGAAATAGCAACGCATTACATGTGAAACTCTCTCCCGAATACTTTTACTACTGCTATTATACGTTTTTACTATAACAGCTATCGAGATTAACAAACCGTGAGATGTTTTTAAAGTATTTAGATCTATTCCCATCACATAAAATGTTGCCGTGATGAGCATTGAGCAGATGACAGTGTGTTGATCGCGAGAATGAAGATCTTATCATTGCAGCGCAGTTCCTGCACTCTCTCTGCTTTCCCCAATGCAAACACGATGATGTAAATACAGTAAGAGCTTCGTTGTGCAGTAACGTGCGTCATTGATTTCATAACGAGTTTGGCAAGTGTCCAGATAAACTCGCGCTGTGTGGAAAGATTGTTCTTTGATCGCTTTCTGTATATAATTTGTTCACAATTTAAATACGATTATTTTCATCCTACTAAAAGAAACGATGTGAAGCTGATATTTTAGTCACTGGCTTGACTTACTGATGCATAAACAGTATTGAACGATTTTGAGAGAAAGATTACCTGTCTGAACTTGAGCAATTACACATCAGAAAGTGTTGCTTGGTAGCTCGATCCGAGGCCAGCTCTGTATTGGCCCAAGTTGAGGAAACAGTCGGTGAAATGTTTGGAAATTTCCAGAGAAAATAAAATTAACCCATTGTTTCTTCAGAGGCTCAGATGAAGGAACTAAAAAATACTTTTGTGTTCATGTGTACATCCACACTGAGCAACTGCCATGCTTCGGCTGCGCAGTTCCGCCTGGCATTGAACATGGGCTGGCATATGCAAATATTTGGAGGCGTACATATTAATGATCCCGACTATTGCGTCACAGTCGGTATTGTGTGGAGAACCGACCGTTTTTCAGGGGTGTTTTTCATAAACGTGAATTAAATGAGAACGCGAAAACAGTCCAGTTTGAGATTCACTCTATGTCATGTCCATGCACTGAACTCTTGTTATTTGACTATACCAAGATAAATTCAATTTTGAATTATAGGTCACCTTTAAGTATTTTGTCAAATAATGCCACAAAATGCCATCAACACAAAATCAAAAAAAGTAAGTTGAGTGAATGATTCAATGTCCCATGGACAGCCACTTGCTTCATTCCTGAACGAATCAGCGTTTTAAACGAATTGGTTGAATGAACCGACTCACTGACTCACTCATTAAGACAGTTACGTGCTGCCACCTACTGGGGGTTTCACTCTCATAATCTAAGTATCGTTTCATTTTGTCATTAATTTCATATTTCTAAAGGCTATTTAAAATATTACATTAAAAAATTGGTACTTTCCTGTTATCCGGACCCCACGATGGCCTACCCCTAACCCCGCCCCTAAACCTACCCGTCACTGGGGTAGACCAATCAGGGACGATGGCCTACCCCTAACCCCGCCCCTAAACCTACCCGTCACTGGGGTAGACCAATCAGGGACGATGGCCTACCCCTAACCCCGCCCCTAAACCTACCCGTCACTAGGGTTAAGACCAATCAGGGACGATGGCCTACCCCTAACCCCGCCCATGGTATATGGTGGGGTCCGGATAACAGGAAAGTACCAAAAAATTTAATCTCATAACACTATGTAATTGTAATTACTGTGTAAATCCATTAAACAGTTTGTAAATACATCTAAATGCTACTTCGGGAATTCAGATGCAACTTCTTTGGTTGATAATGATACTGATTTAATTTGATTGATAACAGCCTATTGTCTTATTATTCTAGTTGAATTTTTTTATTAAATTTAAGAATTTAGTATAAAAGCTGATAAATATAAATAAAAAGATTAGAATGTCCATAAAAAGGTAAAAAAAATGCCCCTGAAAAATGAATAATTGAGCATAATGGGAAAGTTCATTTCTGACACTGCTAGATGACGATATAAATGACTCTTCTGTTCTCTGGCTTTATTGTTCAAGGTGTCATTTCAGGGTTTGATATCTTCCTGCAACTGAGAGAGCACTTCCCGGACCTGTATTATATATTGTATTATAATGGCTAAAGGGTTAGTTCACCCAAAAATGAAATAGATTCATTAATTACTCACCCTCATGTCTCTTTGTTCATCTTCAGAACAGAAATTAAGATATTTTCGCTGAAATCCAAGAGGTTTCTGAACCCCCCATGAGGCAGCAACGTCATTGCAACTTTCAAGGCGCAGAAAGGTAGTAAAGACATCGTTAAAATATCCCATGTGACTCCAGTGGTTCAACCTGAATGTTATTAAGCGACGAGAATACTTTTTGTGCACAAAAACCCCCAATAAAAATAACGACTTTATTCAACAATCTCTTCTCTTCCATGTCATTCTCCTACACTGTGGACGTAGTGTAAACAGTGCAGCGCCTCTGGACTCTCCATTGGCTGCTCCTGCGCAGCATCATGTGTCGTGGTGATCACGTGACCAGCGTCAGCCAATAATAAGCCGGCATTCTGACGTACTAATCACACTATTGATTTGGCCTACATCAGAACTATAATTTTCAGATAGCCCTATCGAAAATAACTAATTTAAATGTTGAAATACAAAATTGAGTTCTTGATATCAGGAATTTATATTTTTACTAGAAACAAAGTTATATTCGATATGAAAAATTATGATTTTTACTAGTAAGAATTGTATTTCTGATTTGTGAAATTGGAATTTCAACTAGTAAGAAATCAATTCTTGATATCAACAATTGAATTAGAATGGCAGGCTATGATGAAAATACAATTACAGATATCAAGAATTATAGTTATTACTAGTTGGAATTTAATTCTTGATATAAAAAAATAATATTTCTCTGAGTAATGATGTCATTGTTGATTTCAACAATAAAATAAAATAATTAATTTGTTTTTATTTGTTACTTGATTTTAATGATTCAAATGTAGCCTATTAGTTCGGCTAGTTGTTGTTGTTCTATGGTGTTTTTAACCCTCTGGTTATCTTTGGGGTCTTTTTAACCCGCAAATGACTTTTGGTCAAATTAAAAAAAATGTTCTCTTTGTCCAAATGGTATGAAACTTTCTACAGCTCTTAACACTTCATAGATCTACAAAAGAAAAAAAAAATTGGAATGATATCTGTTATTATGTTGCCGTGAAAAAAATAGTCACACTTGTTGTCTTCGGGGTCCCTGGAGACCCCGCATAGTAAATATATAATATTCATCATCAAAATCAGAAACAACGCAGATCACATGGACAGAAATGAAATGGCACACTTCCAACAATGTAAAAAACATCCACAATGCAAAATTATCATGCTCGCCACACACACACACACACACACACAACCACACATACACATACACACAGAAATACATTTGTAAGGCTATAAAAAAAGTCTTATAATTTGTCAAATAAAATGCAGAACCACCACAAATATAAATTGGTGACACTGACACAACGAAAATACACACACACACACACACAGAATGTGTGTCTGCAGAAGTCATGCAACGTACTACGCATACTGCCTGCAGTGCACTGACTCGTGAACACCTCCAGTGCACCACCAATTGTTGTTCTTATTTGTTCAAAAAACAAAAATTTCCCAATCAGTTTTTTTAACAAAATAATTTTTATATTACAACCATTTTATTTTTTTACTGCTTTATTTGATCATTTGTTATTGCTGTTCAGTTCATTGCACTTTTGTTTTTTTTTCTCAATATGTAATATAACTGTTCATTTCTGTTATTTTTTGTTCTGTTACAGTTTGTAACTGAAACGTTGATTAAAAATGATAGAATTATATTAAAAACAGATAATTGAAATAAATGATAAAATCTAAAGACTCCAAGATTTTTTGTAACATCTTGTTCAGGTTTGATTCTAATCATAAAGTAACATTATTGAAGAACTTTTTTCAATACAAAATATGCTAAACTTAATACAAAATATGCTAAACTTTGACCAAAAGTATATAATTCTTTTTTATAATTTTGATTTTAAAATATTTATATATGAATCCAACTCAATCCAACTGAATCCAACTTGTGAAAAGATGTATTTTGGTTAATCAAACAGCAAATAGCATATAATGGAGCTCTATAGCAATATAGTGGTTAAAGTGAATTTTTTTATTTTAAAACTTCATTTTCCAAAAAAAGGGCAAAAATCTTACATTAAATCATGTACAATTATCCATGTTATCCCCATAAATGAAAGTTAGAAATCTGGGTCCTTTATAAAGTGAATTTTACATAAAATGCTGTTTTTTGTAAAAAAAACTATTTATTTAAATATTTATTTATTTATTTTTAGAAATTTAAAAAATATCAAAAATCCTCCAAAAACTGCACAAATGTTGAGTAAAAACATTAATAAACAGAGTAAAATTACATTTGTAAAAAAAAATTTATTATACTGTTACAAAATGCAATGTTATTGTCTGGGGTCCCTGGAGACCCCAAAGATAACAAGTGTAGACCCTAAATGAAGATAATCAGAGGGTTAAACCACAGGCAAACGCTACCTCAGTTCTTTAGCTGATGATTTCTGCTCATGCTATTCAGATACAATTACATGTTTTGCAATAAGACTAAATGTGAATAATATATAAGTGGGTTTTTTATTTTATTTATTTTTTACCTCATTGGAATCGAAATTAGGAATCGATAAGAATCGGAATTGATAAGCAGAATCGGAATCGAGATCGTTAAAATTCAAACGATACCCAACCCGAATCACGAATTCATGACTGCGAATGATGAATGTAAACGCGGCCTGCCACACAGGGATCGCGGTGCTTTGCTCATCCTCGAGGTTGAGGAGCCCAGTTCGTACGCTGGAGGAGGGAGCTGAGCCTCGGGGTGGGTGGGGCAGCATTACATCCTCGTATAAAAAGTAAAACAATACAGATACATCACACATGTAAGCTATACAGTAGGTGGAGGTAATAGGCTACTCATGAGGAGTTAGCGAGGCGCGTTGAAAGCGAAGAAGAAGGTTTTGTCGCAGATGTGCTGCGACTATCATGAACTCTCCAGACTACGATGACAGCACCGCGTTCCTGGGAGACTGGGGACCTTTCCAAAGGAATCTGTTCATTCTGTTGTGTTTCAGCATTATTCCCAATGGCTTCACGGGGTTATCCATGGTTTTCATGGGCGATACACCCGCTCATCACTGTCTGATTCCCGCGGCGCTGAACATCACGGGTGAATGGAGAAACGCGTCCATTCCTCTGGACGAGGAGTCTCGCCTCAGTAAATGCTCTCGACACCGAGTGGACATCGTGAAAAACTACTCGGACAGGGGTTTGATCCCGTGGGTGGATGTGAATGTCTCGGATATTCCTCGAGAAACCTGTATGGACGGCTGGGTGTATGATAATGAAATATACATCTCCACGATTGTTACTGAGGTTTGTTTTCGATGCTTTCTCCTTCCTCCAGCCAGAGCCAGCTCGATGTACTGAAGCTCAGATTGGCGTGTGGTTTGGGAAGGGCCGGATCTGGGGTCTCCGGGACCCCGAGAAAGGCTGATACTCTGGGCTTTCTTCATAGCGCGTTCCGGCTCGTCCCCACCTGTCGCTCCAGTGATAGTTTAACGCTTGACATCCGTTAGACATTCGGTTTCATTCCCATTAAACTCTCTGCACTTCATGTATTCAGTCCAAACCAACTCATAAATACATAAACAAACACCCTTGGCATAGCACAAGGCTTAATTTCAAGAAATAAGATTTACAGTCAAACCAAAAATGATTCAATTGTTATTATTTTTACTAGTGGGTGCAGGACACTATAGTTAATTTATGTAAGTGAGGATAGCAAAATAAACTGTGACATATTAGGCGATATCGCTCAATTTCCAATTTACTGCTCATATTCATTACTATGAGAAATGTTGAAGGTGTCTGAATAAATTTTGGTTTGACTATATTAATTAGCTTTATTAAACAATTTAACTAGGCCTATATGACATTATTGTATCAAACTAATAGTAAAATGTTCAGAAAGATATCCCTTTTATTGCACAAGGCTCTGTTTTTGGTATTAGCATCTCATGTTTTATAAAATTTTGGAACTTTAAATTTATGCAATACTGTAAATCCATCAAACTACAACACCGTTTGCATCAAACCAACTGTAAATTACTCAGAATAGGATTCCCTTTTATACACAAGGCTTGCTTTTCAGATTATTAATCTGGTATTTTGTACATTATAGTATGGTATTTTTCGCACTGAACCCATTTAAATCCATTAATCTACAACACCGTTTGACCTAAAGCTACCAATCCAACTGTAAATTACTCAGAATATTATTCCTCATGTTGCACAAGGCTTGCTTTAGATTATTAATCTGGTATATTTTATATACAGTACTGAACCCATTTAAATCAATTAAACTACAACTCAACAAGGTATCAAAGCGCAACTGTAAATTATTCAGAATATAATTCCCGTTTGATTTGACATCTTTAGGTCAAACAGTGTTGTAGTTTAGTTTAAATGGGGTCCGTACTGTACATAAAAAATATTAGATTAATAATCTGAAAAGCAAGCCTTGTGCAACATGTCAGGAGGAATATATTCTGAGTAATCTACAGTTGGTTTGATGCAAACGGTGTTGTTTAACGGATGTACAGTATTGCATACATTTAAAGTTCCAAAATTATTATAAAACACATGAAATGCTAATCCTAATTTAAAAATTAAAACTATCTTATTGTGATATTGACATTTATAAGCAATACTCTTGTAGGATGTGCATCCTGGTGTGTGTTATATGTTAATCAGTAAATTATACTTTTGGACATAATGGACAAGTTTTGACAGAATGACCAAATATTTTCGAAAATTGAAACCAAAATTGCATGCAACGTAACTTCCATATTGTGATGTACAACTGCTTTATGAACAGGGAAAACATTTTAATCAAAATTGGATGAAAAAGAAAAGGAAAATACAAATCGAAATGGATTGTGTGGAGACATAATTCATATCACAGAAAGAGGAAGTTATGACATTTTCTTTCAAGATGAATCGTTCACAATAAGATCAGTATTGGTCGATTCTTATTCCTGTTTTGTAAGACATGGACAAACAAAGTCTATATCAGTATCTTGGATTTTGAGTTAAACTATGGGTTTCACGGAAAACAAATATTTATGTAAATATAATTTTACCAGAAAATCCTAAAGTTACTGTAAAAGCCGCTGTGACAACTAGCCCCTGTCTCCATTTTTCCTTTATTCAATCAGAAATAGAAGTGTCAAAATTAATGTAAATCACTCCAGGCTTGCATGGGTCAGACCGTAACGTAGCCTTTCAAAAACGTAACTTTGAACATTGTTTTATTTTCCTTCTACAAATGGATATAATCCCTTCACACCCTGCCGTGTGTTCATCGGCAGTGGGATTTGGTGTGTTCGGATGACTGGAGAGTGCCATTGACCACCTCTCTCTTCTTCTCTGGGGTTTTGACTGGTTCTGTCATCTCTGGACAGGTTTCTGACAGGTTAGAAAGCATCAAACCTTTTGTTCCCCACAAGCCACATGTGAATATTATAATTATTTAATGGCAAGCACAAAGATCTCGTTCGGCAAAGAATTAGACCATTGGTCATCCTGATTGATTGTGATTTCAGGATTTCAAGTGTGATATTGTTTATTAAACTGCTGTATCAAAGCAAGTCATTAGTGTTTTAAACAAAAATTGGCCATTTACTATGTTTTTTTTTTCTCTCTGCCAATGCAAATCATTTTAAAAGAAGCCGAATCATCAGAACGCCGGGCTGGGATCAGTGTATTTGGGTAATTCAGGATAATTGGGACATTTTTCCCAGTCTCGATGGCAGAAATTGTCCCATTTTACCTGAATTCACTGTATTAAGTAAATAATAAATTAAACAACAAGTAGAGTATTTCTCAATTAAGTTAAAAAAAATCCCATTGTTTTAAAAAGGTTAAGTGAAAAGTTGTTAAAATGGCGAACAATGAAACGCATTAAACATTACATTGGACAAGTGGCTGGTGTCTCAGTTCCCTTTTACACTTCAAGACTTAATACACAGATCTATTTTGACAAATCAGATTTTTTTTCTCCCGTCTGTTGCAATAGTTATAATTATGCATATTTTCCACAATTTATTCAAATTGTGAAAGCAGTGGCCTATACACAGAAAGAGAGCAGAAAGCGCTCACTCTCGTAAAAACTGGTGAAAACTGGAAAGTTGCCTATTGGAAATAAACTTGTTTTTTCTTCTTCTTGGTTTTCAGGTTTGGCAGGAAAATAGTGCTGTTTATTACCATGGGGATTCAGACGGCATTCACCTTCATTCAAGTCTTTTCCCCATCCTGGGTGATGTTTTGCGTGTTGTTTTTCATTGCTGGAATGGGCCAGATTTCAAACTATTTGACAGCATTTGCTTTAGGTAAAGGCTTTTGATGTGCTGTGATTCTTTTTAGTGTACACTTTATATTAGCATTGAATAATCACAACTGATCTTTACATTACTGTTTTCAGTCATATAAAAATTATTGAAAATGATGACTGGCGGCACATTTTTTCCACCAGCACATTTTTAGGATGTTTAAAAACATATGCATGTTTTTGTCTCAGAATCTACTTTGAAAATATTCTCAATAATTCAGACTGTGGACTGTAGATTAAACTAAAAAAAATGTTTTATGAAAATGTCCTTCCCCTAGGAATGGAAATATTCAGCCCATCCGTTCGTGACATCTACTCCACTCTTGGCGTGTGTCTTTTCTTCTCCATCGGGTACATGATGCTTCCCCTGGCGGCCTACTTCTTGCGAGACTGGAGAACGCTGTTGCTGGTCCTCACCATCCCTGGATTCTTCTGCATGCCCCTATGGTGGTAGGTGTTTGCTATGGGATGGGCGCTATTTAATAATGCACCAGACACGAGAAGAACAGTTATGTATAGTGAACACTTGCTTGCCAAAGAGGCAGCACAAAGGTCATTTGAATAAGATGGGTTATACCTAAAAACACCCCAGATAATACAAATATATTCTAAGAACGTTTTGTTAACATTCCCATTAAGCTATGATAGTGTGGATAATTTGATTATACTTTCATCTCATAAAGAGTTGAGGACTCGCCCATGTGGATGTTGCACAATTGAGTCTCTACACTCTTAGAAAAAGATTCAGTGAGATTTTTATGTCACAGCTGTGTTGCAATAAACAAGGAGTAAAGGATCTAAACACAGCAGTTTAACTTTTATTCAAACAAGGAACTGACAAAAAAACTGAAGGAAACAGAGCTTAAATAGACAGACCAAACAAATAAATTAAATTAATATAAGGTGAACTTAATTAGGCTAACTGGCACACACAAAGAAACTAGGTCAACATTCACAATTGTGGAACAGAAACAGAACAGAACCTAAGCAAAACAGAATATACACGTTACATCTACAGAGATGACTTCTTTAAAGAGAGCCTAACCACACTCTACCCAAGGACAGCGGCCAAAGACACTCATAACGAGACCTAGTGCTAGTGTCTAGAAGGAAGAGCTCTAGACAGGGGAGGCCTCAACGGGATAACTCTAGAATGAGTGGAGGCCTAACTACACCATTTTACTAAAAAGGCAAGACTACCAAGGATGCTCACTGAAAGCTGTACCACTTGGCAACGTCATCTAGGCGGATCTCTAGGGTGTGAAAGCCTCAGTAAGACGACTCTCTAAAATGAGAAGAGATTTAATCACCCTTTACACTAAAACCGTGTTATCGAGGAGGCTCACAGAGAACCTTGCCACTCGACTCTGCTGACCCACAGGGCTCAGAGGAGTGAAAACCCCAATAGCACAACTCTTCAGGATGAGAGGAGACCCAGTACCACTGCTATCTAGAGACCCAGCATCACTCCTATCTAGAGACCCAGTACCACTCCTAACTAGAGACCCAGTACCACTGCTGTCTAGAGACCCAGTACCACTGCTACCTAGAGACCCAGTACCACTGCTATCTAGAGACCCAGTACCACTGCTACCTAGAGACCCAGTACCACTCCTATCTAGAGACCCAGTACCACTGCTGTCTAGAGACCCAGTACCACTGCTATCTAGAGACCCAGTACCACTCCTATCTAGAGACCCAGTACCACTGCTATCTAGAGACCCAGTACCACTCCTATCTAGAGACCCAGTACCACTGCTATCTAGAGACCCAGTACCACTCCTATCTAGAGACCCAGTACCACTGCTATCTAGAGACCCTGTACCACTCCTATCTAGAGACCCAGTACCACTCCTATCTAGAGACCCAGTACCACTCCTATCTAGACCCAGTACCACTCCTATCTAGAGACCCAGTACCACTGCTATCTAGAGACCCTGTACCACTCCTATCTAGAGACCCAGTACCACTCCTATCTAGAGACCCAGTACCACTCCTATCTAGAGACCCAGTACCACTCCTATCTAGAGACCCTGTACCACACCTATCTAGAGACCCAGTACCACTCCTATCTAGAGACCCTGTACCACTCCTATCTAGAGACCCAGTAATACTGCTATCTAGAGACCCTGTACCACACCTATCTAGAGACCCAGTACCACTCCTATCTAGAGACCCTGTACCACTGCTATCTAGAGACCCAGTAACACTGCTATCTAGAGACCCTGTACCACTCCTATCTAGAGACCCAGTACCACTCCTATCTAGAGACCCAGTACCACACCTATCTAGAGACCCAGTACCACTCCTATCTAGAGACCCAGTACCACTGCTATCTGGAGACCCAGTACCACTCCTATCTAGAGACCCAGTACCACTGCTATCTAGAGACCCAGTACCACTGCTATCTAGAGAACCAGTACCACTCCTATCTAGAGACCCAGTACCACTGCTGTCTAGAGACCCAGTACCACTCCTATCTAGAGACCCAGTACCACTCCTATCTAGAGACCCAGTACCACTGCTATCTAGAGACCCAGTACCACTCCTATCTAGAGACCCAGTACCACTGCTGTCTAGAGACCCAGTACCACTGCTATCTAGAGACCCAGTACCACTGCTGTCTAGAGACCCAGTACCACTCCTATCTAGAGACCCAGTACCACTCCTATCTAGAGACCCAGTACCACTGCTATCTAGAGACCCTGTACCACTCCTATCTAGAGACCCAGTACCACTCCTATCTAGAGACCCAGTACCACTCCTATCTAGAGACCCAGTACCACTCCTATCTAGAGACCCAGTACCACTGCTATCTAGAGACCCAGTACCACTCCTATCTAGAGACCCAGTACCACTGCTGTCTAGAGACCCAGTACCACTGCTATCTAGAGACCCAGTACCACTGCTATCTAGAGACCCAGTACCACTCCTATCTAGAGACCCAGTACCACACCTATCTAGAGACCCAGTACCACTCCTATCTAGAGACCCTGTACCACTCCTATCTAGAGACCCAGTACCACTGCTATCTAGAGACCCTGTACCACACCTATCTAGAGACCCAGTACCACTCCTATCTAGAGACCCAGTACCACTACTATCTAGAGACCCAGTACCACTCCTATCTAGAGACCCAGTACCACTGCTATCTAGAGACCCTGTACCACACCTATCTAGAGACCCAGTACCACTCCTATCTAGAGACCCTGTACCACACCTATCTAGAGATCCAGTACCACTCCTATCTAGAGACCCTGTACCACACCTATCTAGAGACCCAGTACCACTCCTATCTAGAGACCCTGTACCATACCTATCTAGAGACCCAGTACCACTCCTATCTAGAGACCCTGTACCACACCTATCTAGAGACCCTGTACCACTCCTATCTAGAGACCCTGTACCACTCCTATCTAGAGACCCTGTACCACTCCTATCTAGAGACCCTGTACCACTCCTATCTAGAGACCGTAGACAGACCCTGGTACCTAACCATGCAGAGCTCTGGGGAGTAGAGGCCTCGACAGGACAGCTCTCTGAACAAGAGGAGACCTAACGACACTCTTTGTCAAGGCTCACCTGGAGCCATTCCACTTGACACTAAAGATAAACAAACCTCTAAAGAGTGAAGTACTCAGCATGACATTTAAACAATGTAGGTTTGTCAAGAAGGCTCATCAAGAGCCATATAACTCAAATAGTTTACTGAACTTGTCAAGGAGGCTCATAAAGCTCTTCAACTTGACTCTAGCAATGAAAATTAGCTCTTAAGGAGCCGAATACTCAAACATAACCCTCCAAAACGAGGGGAGCACTACCAGTGCTCAACTAAAATAAAGCTCGCCAAGGAGGCTTAGAGAAAGCCATTCAACTTAACTCTCTAAAAAGTTAAGTGCATACACAAAAGTTAAGGTACACAGCATAATGACCCTCTAAAGCGAGGGGAGCACTAACAACGCCTGAACATTATACGGTCTGTCAAGGGGCCCACAGAGGGCCATTCAATCTGACAATAAGACCTGAACCGAACCATCAGAAGACAGATCTTATTTTATCTTTGCCAAAATCATATTGGTCTAGCCCCTGGGAGGTCAACCGTAACTAAACTTACGGTTCAGTTTAAAAGGAGGCACATAGAATGCCAATCAGCTTGACTCAAACAATAGACAGAGGCCTAGGGGAGCAGAGTACTCTGCATGACAACCCTCAGAACAAGGGGAGCACTAAACAAATATTAGCTCACGAGAGCCATTCAACCTGACACTAATGTTTAAACTAATGCTTGTAGAGTGGAGAACTCAGGATGACAACCCTGAGAACAAGCGGAGTATGCTCTTAGGCAGAACTGTTTTTTTCTATCGCAAATCAAGCGAGAGCAGAGTCTTCTGGCACGAATGCATAGCTATGAGTGTCTTTAACTCCCTTGAGAGCCGAACACGCTCGTGCAAATGCTGACTACTATCCCTCTGGAAAGAATAAAAGAATCACAAAGCTTCTCACCAGTCTCTTTCAGTACTCTCTCAAATGCATCATATGAACATATCCAGCTCGAGGAGTCACGCACACTCCACCCGTGGCGTTTCTGTCTTACACATCCATACAAACGGCTCCTGAAGACGATGAAGAGGAGGACGCGTTCCTCAGGCACCCTTTTATACTCACGATCGCACTGGTATTGACGTCATAGGCTCTCACTGGCCAGTACAATTGTCGCGTTTGCACACGTGCTTCGCAGACTTCTCAGACGCAGTGCGAGTTCCCATTCGAAAGGGAACAGTATTTTCTGCAAGCTTTATTAAGGTAAATGTAGGTGCCTTTCCAAAAAAGGACAAAAGGACACCTTATAACCAAATGGTATACCAAAGAGTCCATATAATTCAAAAATGTATGCACACACAAAAAAAAACTAAAAACTTTTTCACAGAACTTTTACAGAATTCACAGTGTATAGTGTGTACAGTGCAACAGCAAAAAGCTTGTTTACATTTTAGACAAGTTAAGTTGCGCTACCGAACAGGACCTCGTTTTAAAGCTAAACAGCCCCTGGAATAAATAATGAATTATATGAATAACTGGAATAATTCACTGAAATCTATTTTCTCCGCCACCTCTGATGTAATCAGCCTGGTTTTCTTTACATTAGTGCTGGTTCGGACTGATTGTTTGAATGAATTCACTTACTGGATAATTGAACTGAAAACATTCCTGGAGTTTAGCGGCTTAAAGTGATCTGATCGCAAACAGAGAAGCGAAATCGGGTTAAAGGGTTAGAATAGAAATGCTCGTCTACCAGGGTTACAGGTGCTCGCATTGATTCTCAGTTTGATAAACTTCCGACTCTAAACTCTGTGATAAACACAAACATTGTTTGTTCTTGTTAGCTCACAGTGCTGTAAATTTTTTTAGAGAGGACCTATTGTGGCTCTAAAAATGGTTTTAGAGTCACGGCCGGCTCTGAGCCGCGACAAATGAGGGAGGCAACGAGAACAAAAGCCAGTCAAAGAGTCTTTATTGACAATAAAGAATAAGCTACGTAATTAACGCCAAACTCAAAAACACGTTCCAATAACACAGGCCTGCCAACATAACTTCCCAAACTAAACTAATATATAAAGCAAACAAATAACAAATAAAACAGCAACCCAAAATAACAGAAAAACCAGAGGGTAACCAAAGCCACCCCAAGTCAGAGAACCATTCCATTTTATAACCCTCTGCAGGTGTTTCACATTAATTACCTGATTACCTCAGTAGGACGGGCCTAGATGCACGTCACAGGCTCTACTAGAACAGGTTTTCCTGCTTGAATGTTGATTATTCTCCTCATATTCTCCATTGTTGCGGCTCCTCTCTTCCCAGTCTGTCAGTAACGCTCTGTTTACTTCCTGTCTCTATGAAGCCCCTCCTTCTGAAAGCACACTGTGCTCTGATTGGTCTCCTGGGTCAGTGTGTTGTGATTGGTCGAGCGCTTCGAGTGTGTTTAGGAAATGTCCCGCCCCTTTCCATAACCGCCAGTTTAACACACTACTAACTAACTCAACCAGGCCCCGCCCCTTTATTCCGCGTATGAATTATTATAATGAGGAATATTGGGACGTGTTCGTTCCCGGGAGAAACTCAAGACTATAATGGAGGCGTTTCGAGGAGTTGTTACGACCCATGGTCTAGGGTTCAGGGGTGAAACATAAAGGAAAATAATCATGCAGATTACTTTTACAAGAACTTTCTCAATGTCTTGTTTTTTTATTGTGAGGTTAGAGGGAAACAAGTTCTCCCAGCAGTTCAAACAAAAAATAAGGATGCAAAAGGGCTAGGCCAGGACAAAATAATTAACAGAAAGTCCTCTACTAAACATAAACAGGAGAAAAGTATGTCAAAAATGCCTACATCGTCCATGACTCAGGCAGTTTGTTCTCAAGTTACATATGTGGTCAACCACTAAAAGAAAGAAATATGAGGGAGAGAAAAAACATTATCAATTGCTCACTCAAGCTTCACAGATTTCACAATCAAAGCTATGAAAACAATTTCAACAGCATTCAACAAAGTGGGCAACACATGCTCTGCTCTCTCTCTCTCTCGCTCTCCCTCTGGGGATTTTGCACTTCCGTTCCTCTTTTAAAAGACGCCCGCGCTTTCCGTGACAAACCACTGCGCGCGCTGACATCACGTCCAGTTAGGGCGAATAACCTATGAGAAACAGACAGGAGGATAGACAGCGGAAACAACAGAGAGAGAAGCACACACACACACACACACACACACACACACGTGCACCGGAACAGCCTCAGGCGCAACAGAGTTCAGAAACACTGACACTGATAAAGAGAATTACTCCCGCTGGAGGGACTTATTTCATGCTCAAAAAGCAACATTACACACTATTATACCATTTCATTTTGCTGCATTAAATAAGTATAATAAGGATCTGTTGTTATTTGCAGGTTTATCCCAGAGTCTCCGCGATGGCTGCTGTCTCAGGGGAGGGTCGCAGAGGCCGAGGAGATTCTGAGAAAGGCTGCCAAGATGAACGGGGTTAAGGCCCCTGAAGTCATGTTCCCCCTTCATCAGGTGATCTCCACACCTGCCTGTGCTCTTACATGTGCCTCGCTCAGCTCCTCGGATGACCAAAGCTCTTCAACCTCTTATTCTCTGTTCAACTGCGATTGATTTACTACTAGAGGGGTCATATAACGAGGAGTTGAAAGAGTTCAATGCACTGTGAAAACAGCATGATTTAGTCTTCTTTTGTCCTTCTCACAACTGCTGCACATGTGCCACGTCGATGCATGTAGGCAACGATAAGTTCATAACAAATGACTCTGCTGTATGGCATAGCAGAAGTGAGGCTGAGCGAAGAGTTTTTTACTGCATGCCACGAATGCACTTATTTACCAGCCTAGTTTGTGCAATATAATCTTTTATGAAGCAACATGTTTATATACTGTAACAGAGTTAGTTACTCACTGACTGGAAAAGATGTTGGACAGGCACACAAACACCCCTTCAGTCAGGATCATTTCTGTCAGATAATGATTATATGGACTTTACAGTCGGTATGCTTCTGTTCTGGTCAAACTCCTTGCCCATCTGAGTGGAGACAGCAGAAAAAGCTAACCTAACTCTAACCACTGGTTTAGATAGATGAATAGCTGACTAACTTTGAGATGCAATGTCATAAAGATGTGACTCTGAAGATTAAAGCAAGCATATGCAGTCCTGGGAAAGACACACTGAACTGGACAATTTATACTTAGAATGGCCACCTTTAAATGCATGGACTTACTAATATGACAACAGTATTTACTGTAAGCCTCATTATAATTGCATCTACCATAATATCAGTTATTCCACAACTCTTAGAAACAAGCATTCAATCATTCCACTAAACAGGCCTTTTCAAAGTCCAAAGTTCATAATCCAGAGTTCACATGCACAAGTAATTTTAAACATTAATCTAGTTCAGGTGTATGATTAATTCAGTCAGGAGAATTACATGCCAATAAATGACACAATCTCTTATGATCCTTGCACAACATTAAAAGTGCTGTTCACTTGTTTAACTCCATGAAAACATAAACATGCAGAAAATGGAAAACAACAACAGTGTATTTTTGAACACGATTCATTAGAAGTCGCAACTAAACGGTAGTAGCGACAGATCTTATTTTCAAATTGTGCTTTGACGTTCAAAACGTCTTCATATGAATGTGGAATCAAATTTTCAGAAAATAGAGCAACCAAAGTGAGGTCCAATGATCATCCCATTGTCTTGCCCAGTCCACGCTATTTCTAGAGTCAGGTGAAGAAAGACTAAACAAAACAGTGTGTTATCATATGAACAGCTCTGCTTTCTCATCAGTCTCATTTAACATTTAAAGCTACAACACCAATGCCACTCATTTCTAAAAAGAACAAAAACTTGGCAATTTGTTACTTAAGGCTTATTTCACTGAAAAAAAGGAGCCGTTTAATTTTCCGTGTGACTCACAAACTCACATATGTCAGTTCAAGGTAACACTAATAAGCCGACTATCGCTAGTTTAAATAACATTTAGTTAAAATGGATTTTATTAGTTAATGACCTCAATTTAACCAGGAATAAAAAGTATTTGAAATCACAAGTGAACTTTGACTCTACTGAAGCAATTCAATATCATCATAAATAAAGTAATTTGCAGTTCCACTGGCTTAAATTGTAATTCATTGCTCTAGGACAGGGTCGTGTGGCGAATTTTGACCAATAAAATTAAAGTCAGGCCACTCAATGGTAAAAAAAATGTAATACAATGTATTTGTCTGAAATCACGATCCAGGGTAGTCTCTAGAGCGAAAAGATGAGCTCCCAGCTAAACTGAATATTTATTTAGTCAGATCATATGCAATTTTCAATGAACCAAGACTTTTAAAATGTATTGGATAAACAAATGAACAGATTATCGTAAGGCCTCCTGCTTCCTTTTACCATTAATGTACAATTTCCAGTTCATCTTCATTCACCCTGGTCTTCCTCAAAATCCCATAATATGCCCACCTGACGTGCATAAATGTTTTATAATTGAAGACCTCTTATCTGACTCCCTACATTCCCAGCCTAACTGACCTTGACTGCAGAAAAAGCCATTATTCACAAGTTGCTTCTCACAGCATTTGTAGATTAACTTCAAACATCAGAGAGAGAGAGAACTAAAAAAATAAAAAGGCAGGATATCTGACTCTTCTGTGCGTGACAGAAAGAGTGGGCCAGTGCTCAGTAGTTATCCGAGGCCTTACATTCCAGTGACTCAAATAACTTACAGCATCTCCGTGCTTATCCATCAAAACCCAGCGCTTACATGTAGCCTACAGCATGAAAAAACCAAGAGAGCTGTATGTAAACAAGCAAAACTTTAGTTCTGGCCAGTCACGTCAGTCGAGCTTGCATCAGCTACGTCTTCCTATAGGAATACAGTGGTATCACAGCATCCATATATAAGGTCCATTCAGTTTTTACAGCTTTACCGCGTTACTCAGGAGCTAGTTACCCTCCTCCCTCCCCAGCTCCACTCGTCCAGTCAGGACTGGCCTTCTGATATTCTTCTTCAGACTAATATATATATTACATATCTGCTATACATTTATGTTTGTTCTGTTCTGTATACCCTATCGCTGCTCTCCCTGCTCTTATCCACGCCAGAACAGAACCATACCGCCAATCGTAACTGTATGCTAATTGTCAATAATCTTTGATGATAGTGGTCCTGACACAATTTCATTCAGATATAGTACCTCCCACATGCATACAGATCTACATTTTGAGGTAATCATTCCTCATTGTAACACAGCTTGTTTTATTAAGTTAGGAGTTATAAATACTATTAAAGTGTGAGAATTAAACTGCGCAAGTCAATGAATAAACCATTAGCCCGGCAACAAGTTAGTGACTGTACATAATTAATGCTATACATTTTGGAGATACTATTAGACCTAAGTCCTATTAAACATTCCACACACATTAAAATGACTGTGATTCGTGTGGAAAATCTGTTCATGCGGACCTGTTCACTTCATGTGTTTTCTCTGATCGGATAGCTATCCAATCGTGAAAAGACAGAAAGAGATGAAACTGGACAAAATGCATGATTTGACAAATGAAAAAAAATTAGTTCTGAAATATTTAATGTTCTGCACTCTTTCCATGTTAGCCATTATGAATATTTAAAATATGCTTATATATAGAGGTACAGTGATTAACTCGGAAACGTAAAAATGGCACTTTATGATAAGAAGGTTGCCGGCCCCTGGTCTATGATGTTATTATGACTGTCTGCATAAGAGTGCTTCATATTGTTTTAGCTGTGGATATCAAATGGTCTTTTGCTTACAATGTATGCAGTGTTTTGACAGTGTTGTGTAACAAGACATGTTTGTTGTTACACGTGTGCTACAGTCAAAGGGTAGTGCTGGAAGTTTGAAGACCTACAGTCTCTGTGACCTGGTGAAGTCCACCAACATCCGCTGCATTACTGTCCTGCTGTGCCTGGTCTGGTAAGAGCGCTTACATCTACTCAAGATAGACATGGGCTGCACATACTTTCTTACTATATATAGTGGGAAAAAAACAGTATGTGACAAGAGTAGTATGTCCGTTCTCACAGTACTCATAAAACACTTGGCAAAAATATCCGGATGACCTACTTCTTCCGGCGAGATTCTTAAGTGTGCATACAATGAATACTTTACTATCCCTTAAGGACACGGTAGATGATCTATGAATGGCCGTGAAGAGCTGCAAGGTCACATGATAATGACAAAATGGCGGATGTAGTTCGTCCAGATTACATGCGTACTAGAGTTCCCTTTCGAGGGAACTCGCGATGCGTCACTTGACGCTTTGGGAACGCCCCCAGCGTGAATGCGTCTGAGCATCAATGTCAACTAGTCCAATGGAAAGAATGAGCGTCACGGGCGGGTGACGTCATGACCAGGAAGGGATAAAGGCTCACCCGGTGAAACGCGGCATTAGCTTCTGTGTCTCAGCAAGCGATCTGTGTTACTCTGTCTCTGTCTATTTATTGTTGTCTGTTCGATATTATTGGGAAGAGTTATGGCGAAACAACTTTACAAACTCTGTGCTTCTCCCTGCCCGCGTTATTTAACGGGTGGGGACACACACGAGCTTTGTGTAGTTTGTTTGGGAGTGGAGCATGCGGTATCAGCCTCCGAGGGGGCTGATTGCAACATTGTGAGAAGCTTTCGCTTCGCATGCTCCACTCCCGCCTGTCACTTTTCGAGGAAAGTGGCCAGGCTCGCGATCCTCGGGGTGCAGGACACGCGTCTGCCGAGGCAGCGCGGAGAATGCATTCCTGTGGATCGCGAATAGGATCTCGTTACGGGGTTGGAGACGGGTCCGCGGATCTTATCTCCTCCCTTTCCACGAGGGATCCAGTGCTCTCTCTCCGGTCTCGGAAGCCCGCGCTGCGGTCTCTTCCGCCCGGGGAGAGAAATCAATACTTCAGTGCTCTACCTCCGAGGAGGTAGATGTGCTGGGCATTAAAAGTGTACTCAATCATGGGGGAAGTGGATTTGCCATCTCTTCCCCAGCGTATGAGAATTATATATAGCCTATATATATATATATATGATAGTTTATATGTTATATATAAAATAAAGTGTATATATATAAAGAATGTATATAAAAAAAATATATATATAATAATAAGCTGGTGGAGGTGTTTACTGAGGCTGTAGATGAATTAAATATTTGATGGCCAGCAGAAATAAGGGGGCACTCGTCCTTAAAATAAATTGAACGAGTTTCCTTCCCTCTATTTTTCAGCGAGCTGTCTAGATCATGGAAAAAGCCTTACTCATTTTTTAGCCCCACATTCATGTATATTCAGATATTTGGGGGTTAAGAGAGTATGGCTATGGGGCAATACCCCGGGTAGAACAGACACTTGCGAGCTATGTCTCCCGGTTCAGTATCGTCCCTGAAGGCGTCGGCTTCTCTCACTGAACCATTAAAGAAAACTATTTTTTAATCCTGTGGGAAAAGCATATATGGCAGTGGGTCTAGCACGAGCCTGCTTGCACACTATAGCAGTGCTGCAAGCATATCAGGCTGACCTGCTGTGGTATTTGGACAGAAGTGAGGAAGTTGGCCCGATGGGGTTTGAGAACTCCGTCGGGCCTCAGATTTATCTCTCAGGGATGGCAGCCAAAGAAATGTGGTCCCTGAGAGACACCTCTGGCTCAATTTGATGGGAATCATGGAGAAAGATACAAGATAATCTCTCCCTCGCTATGTCCAACCCACTGGGGCTGCTGGGCGTGAGCAGCTCCAGCCGGCTAGTTTCTCATACACAACACAGCAGCCAAAGCCTTCAAAGCAGAAGCCGGATCCGAGGACCGTTCTTCATGCTGAGAAGGCTGCGGCTCAAAAGAAAAGGTCTGGCGCCACGGCGTCAGACCGGTGAGGGCAGCCCCAACCGGGGTGGAATGGTGTACACCTCATTATACGGTGCCCTTTCCATCTCTGTGCCCTCAGGGGACCGTTCTGCCAACCCCGCCACCCTTGGTGCTTCGGGGCGCAGCGTTCTCCAGCGAGCTTCTGGCGCAGCGTCAACTCGACATTGCGTCGGACTCGCGCCCTCTGAGGGGGGTTCGAAAACAGTCAGTTCGGGTGGTTCCTGCCAGTATGTTTCAGGTCCCCGAACTGGCTGTCTTTATTACACCAGAGGCCAGCCTCGAGGGGCTGGTTCCCTTGGTAGGTTTTCTGGCAGCGCGGAAGCTACTGCCAAATATATCTCTATGGGTAATGGTAATCTCTCTGGTAATGGAGCAAGGGGTAAAGGCCCTGTTAGCAAAGAAAGCTATAGAGCAGGTGTACTCACCCGACATTGCGTCGGGTCTTTACAGTCGTTATCTCATTGTTCCAAAAAAGGATGGAGAGCAGCGTCACATACTAGATCTTCGTCTGTTGGAGTGTTTGGTGCTGGAACTCAAGTCCAAGATGCTGACACTCAAACAGATCGTGACTTAAATCAGATCCGAGGACTGGTTTGTCACGATAGATCTAAAAGACGTATACTTCCATATCTCCATCCTCCCTCAGCACAGGAGGTTCCTGAGGTTTTCTTTGGGGCAAAGAACACCAGTATCAGGCACTTCCTTTCGGTCTAGCTCTATCACCCCGCACGTTCACGAAGTGTATAGACGCAGCTCTGGCCCCGCCAGGCTGCAGTGTATACGCATTCTGAATTGCATAGATGACTGGCTGATTCTAGCGGAATCAGAACAGTTAGCGGTTCGGCACCGAGGTGTCGTTCTCGCTCATATGCAGATGTTGGGGTTGAGGCTCAATGCCAAGAAGAGTGTTCTTTCTCCAGTACAGAGAACCACTTTCCTTGGTGTGGTATGGGATTCAGTGACGATGCGGGCCACTTTATCGCCCGTTCGTGTAGCTGCTATCCTGACAGCCACCATAGAGCTAAAGCTAGGCCAGTCACGCACTGTAAAACAGTTCGAGAGACTGTTGGGTCTTGTGGCAGTAGCGTCCAACGGGGTACCTTTTGGCCTGCTGTACATGAGACCTTTGCAGTGGTGGCGCAGGACCAGAGGGTTCTCCCCGAGGGGAAACCCACTTCGTATGATCAAGATCACGCGGCCGTGCCTTCGTGCCTTGGTTATATGGAGGAAACACTGGTTCTTAACCCAGGGTTCGGTGTTGGGAGCTCTTTGCCATCGAGTTGCTATCTCGACAGATGCTTCCCTCACCGGCTGGGGAGCGGTATTGGAAGGCCGCTCAGCTCAGGGCTTGGGAGGAGTCATCATCTCGCTTGGCACATGAATTGCCTAGAGATGATGGTCGTCTTCAATGCGTTGAGACATCTCCTCCCAGACCTGAGGGGCCATCATGTGTTGTTCTGAAACAGTGACTGTTGGGCCTCAAGGCAGCAGCGTTCAATGTGATACCCTTTGACCTGCTGTACGTGAGACCTTTACAGTGGTGGCTCAGGACCAGAGGGTTCTCCCTGAGGGGAAACCCACTCCGTACGATCAAGATCACGCGGCAGTATCCCCGCGCCTTGGTTATATGGAGGAAACTCTGGTTCTTGACCCACAGACAACACGTTGGTGGCCTATTATTTTGGTCCCTCAGGAAATTACGCTGTCTGAGGGCAGTGTATATTCCAGGGGGGGCAGAATATTGGAGCAGACACCCTGTCGAGGCAGGGGCTGAGGCCAGGGGACTCCACCCCGAGGCGGTGGAGCAAATATGGGAGTTTTATGGCCAGGCAGAAGTGGATTTGTTCTCGTCTCAGCAAAAGTACGACGCACTGTCCACTCTGGTTATCCCTCACTCAACCAGTCCCCACGGGGCTGGTTGCTATGGTGCAGACGTGGCTGAGGCTACGTCTGTACGCATTTCCCCCTGTTGCTCTGCTCCCAGGAGTTCTGGAGTGATTCCGCCAGGATGGAATAAGCCTATTTAGTAGCACCACCCTGGCCGAGCTGAATTTGGTTTGCGGAACTAATTTTTCTCCTCGACGGAACTCCCTTGGAGGTCCCGATCAGGAGAGACCTTCCGTCTCAGGCAGGGGATGCAATATTGCACCCCCGGCAGGGGATTTGGAAACTGTGGGTTTGGCCTCTGAGGGGGCCCAACTCATAGAGAGTGGTCTCTCAACCGAGGTTGTTGAGACCATTCTAAGCTCCAGAGCTCCCGCTACGAGGAAACTATATTCACTATTTCGAGAGTTTTTCACTTCTTGGTGTTACCAGCGTCAGTGGGATCCGGTTAACTGTTCAGTAAACACAGTATTCGAGTTTCTGCAAGAACGCTTTGTATCAGGTCTGTGTCCTTCCACGCTTAAGGTATACGTGGCGGCCATTGCGGCTTTCCACGCCCTGGTGGGTAGTACATTTTTGGGTCGAGACCCCCTGATCACTCGTTTCCTTCATGGCACTTTGAGGCTGAGGCCTGCAACTTGCACTAGGGTGCTGGCTTGGGACCTTGCAATAGTTCTAGAAGGCCTATCTGGGGCTCCCTTCGAGCCCTTAGATTTGGTCTCAGAGAAGTTCCTTTCTTTTAAGACTATTTTCTGCTAGCTATTTCGTCCCTATTAGAGTCAGACCTTCAGGCCCTTTCGGTCCCCTCCTGCCTTGAGTGCACCGGGGATGGCCAAGGCATTCTTACCCGAAACATGGATATGTTCCAAAGGTGCCTACCATTATTCCGAGGCCTATTGTGCTGCAGGTTTCTGTCCTCCTTTTACATCTGCGGACCAGGAAAGGCTGAACCTCTTGTGTCCAGTGCGAGCACTGGATACTTATGTTCATCGGACATCTTCAATGAGGAAGTCCGACCAGTTATTTATTTGCTTTGGATCACCTAAGAAGGGTCTTCCTGCTTCTAAATAGACGGTTAGTAAGTGGATAGTTGAGGCTATTTCACTTGCATACGAGTACTCTGACCAGCCGTGTCCTTTGGTGGTCAGAGCTCACTCTACGAGGGGTATGGCGGCCTCTAAAGCCTTATTATT